TTTAATGATTATTAAACTAATATAATATAAGTAAAGTACTTAGTAGAGTGTCTGTCCCCAGAAAATGATGATTATATTATAGGACACATTTGTATATCTGAGAAAATAGATACTAGTTGCTCTATTGGTTTACATAGCCTTGAAGAGCCTATGTGCCATTTGTTTTCTCTACAAATCTACACCTAACAGCTTTGAGTGCATAATCAACCTGTCAGAATGTTAAATCCTTTTGAATCTCAAATGAATGCTACTCTTTAACACAAGTTCCAAATGTGGAAATTGCGTATTTGCGACTGCTGCTAAAATTAAGAAATAACCCCTTAAGGTTCTAGATTCTAGCACTGCTGCAAACTAGGCAGAAGTTTCTCCTCCGCTGATTTTGTATTCCAGGCGGCTTCCTACTCACTCGCGAAGAGGACCTGCGGCAACTCCAACACCCTCCGACCTCCCTCTCCACTGACCTCTGTTTTTTTGGCAGTAACCCCGCCCCTCAAGAATGACCAATCCGAGAGGGGAAAACAAGCGGATAGGGCGGTCCCAGGTTTGCGCTGAGGACGAATCATCTCCCTCAGACACCAAAGACGGAAGCGGAAGTGAACCTACAGTCCATCTTTGGCCTTGCTGCCGCAGTAGGGCTTGTCCCGTGCGAGGTAGTGAGGAAATCCCAGAGCCTTATCTATTCTGCAGAGTAGACGAAGAGTCGCCTGCGCGTGTAGAAGGCAGGAAGCTCGGTCCCCAAAGAAAAAAGAGAGCAAGCAGGGAGCTGCGGGGCAGAACCAAACTGTTCAGGGTCGCTTGAGGCCGGGCTCGGTCCGCGCCAGTCTCCCCTAGGCCATGGTGCAAGAGGATCTCTGAGGGATCCCCAGGTGAGAATAGCGGCCCTGCCCCGGCATTCCCCAGCTGTAGGATCTGATAGATGTAGGTTGAGAAAGAAAGGATGCTGCCCGGTAGCACCCTGAGCGGCCGCAGTTACAGCCGCAGAAAGTACAGCTTCGGCCAAGAAGGCAACTCGAATTGTTGGTAAAGACCCTCACCAGCTCTTTCTCCGTAGTATGCGAGCTCATAAAACCAGAGGACAGGGCTCCCCATTACAGTCTTCTCCGAGCTCTTTTTCCTTGGTACTAGGACCTGATTTGTGAGGAAACATGCCCTGCACGTGTACCTGGAGGAACTGGAGACAGTGGATTCGACCCTTAGCTGTGGTCATCTACCTGGTGGCCATAGTCATTGCTGTTCCCTTGTGCGTGTGGGAATTACAGAAACTGGAGGTAAGAGGGCCCTGCACAGTCTCTACCCTTTCTTCTGTCTAAGCTTGGGAAAGAGACGCTCCTCCTGCATTTCTACTCCAGACACCCAGGCTTGGTATCTGAAAATGCCCTCGTGAAAATGAGCCCAGTCTTTGGACGTAATTTTCAGCAGTGCTAGAATCTAGAACGTTAATGGGTTATTTCTTAATTTTAGAAGCAGTAGCAAATACGGAATTTCCACATTTGGAACTTGTGTTAAAAAGTAGCATTCATTTGAGATTCAAAAGGGTTTAACATTCTGACAGGTTGATTATGCACTTAAAGCTGTTAGGTGTACAGATTTGTAGAGAAAACAAGGAGTTCTTGTTGGTGGTCTTCAATTGATGCTACAAAATAGTCTTGAGTATTTTAATGTAGCTCCTTAGAGGAACGTTGTTTTGCAAATATTCACCAATCCCCTGAAAGTTAGGTAATTTTATTCCTGAAGACTGATCTGCTGTTCAGATGTTGCACTTAACTGGATCAGATTAACTACCTTGAAACCCATGTATTGAATTTTGTTAGCTTTTAACTAAGCTTCTCAAATTAAAGGTTTCTAGTTTGACTTTGTTGTTTTTTACTTTTGAAATTAGCTCTTAACCAAAGCCAAAAGGCTTTGCAAAAAGTTACTTGTATATTTTTTCCTTGTATTTTTTGATGTCATTTTCATATTGTGACATCAGTAAAGTAAGAGAAGCCCGTGGTAAATACTTACCAAGATATATACTTTATAAAAATGGATAATGAAAAATGTATAATAAGCTCCAAGCTAATGAAAACTACTGAGAAGCACTTATTTTACAAGCTCCCTGACAGGACTATTTAGGTTATTTTAGGCCCTTATTGTATAAATAATTTTTAAATAGTTAAACAGTGTAATATATATTTATATTCTGGTTGTTTATTGCTTTACTTTCTCATACTGGCATAGCCAATATAGTTATTTTTAAAGGCAGAATGATATTCCAAGACATTAAATTTTTTTTTCTAACAAACAAGGTATCTAGCCATATTTAGGTTACTTGACTTTACCAAGTACCAAGCTAACACATAAGTTACATTATATGTGTCCTTTTTAGTCTCCTAGTTCCATAATAAAAGCCGCTGTTAACTATAACCATCAAGGCCCAATGTGATCTGACACCACTTTCCCTTAGACTGTCTCTCTGCAAGTCCTGGACTTCTGCCACATGGGCTTATTTGTAGGTGCTGGGCTTGCTCCTTCCTTAGAGCTTTTGCACTTCCCTTCATGGGGTGCCCTTTCTGCAAATAATATTAATTTCTGCCCTTCAGGTCTGTACTCTGGTTACTCTGATATTGCAAGCTTCCTCTTCTCACCTCTTCATATTCCCTTCTCTGCTTTATTTTTCTTCATAAGTCTTACCATCATAAATACTGTATCTGTTTTAGTCTTGTCTCTTCTTCCTTCTGCTCAAAAGACCATACTTAAAAAATGAATTAAGTCCCATTGATTAATCAGGCTTTGTACACTATGTGGTGAGAGATATAAAAATGTGACACCTAACTGGGCACATTGGTGGTGCCACTCACCTGTAATCCCAGCACTCTGGGAGGATGAGGCAGGAGGATACGTAGTCCACTACAAAGGCCCTGTGTTCAATCTCCACCACCACCCCACCCACCCACCCCCAGAAAAAGGGACACCTACCTTCTTCTTGGAACTTAGTGTTAAGAGACAAATGCAGCAACAACAACAAAAATTCATAAAGTTATATAAAATCCTATGGAGGAAGCAAAAATAGGTCTGAGAAAGTATCAAAGAAGGCAATCTTATTATGCAACTTCAAAAGACCAGTCAGCCAGCTGTAGCAAACTAAGGGGAAGTGAAGTGAGGAAGCCCTTTGTGCAGGCTGAGAGACTCAGTGCCTGATCTCGTGGTCCAAATCAGGAGAGCGGATTGAAGGTGAAAGCTGGACTTCAAGCATCCTTGGAAGTGAACAAATAGAACTTGGTAGCAGATTGGACTGGGAAGAAGAGACAGTGAGAGAAAGGGAGAAATCAAAGGTGATCCTGATGTTTTGGGCTCGAACAACTGAATAAATGGAGGTGCCAATCAATGAGATGGAAAATTGAGGTTTACAGACAGGTTTGAAAGTGAGTTCCATTATGGATGTTTAGTCTAATGAGAGACATTCAAGTAAGTGTGTCACACATGCAGTTGGATATGCAAGTGTAGAGCTCGGAAAGGTTTGCACTACAGATACAAACACGGGAGTTTGTCTTAATCAGCTCAGTCTTTCATAAGAAAACACCATAAATTGGGTGGCTTACAAAAGAACTTTATTGACTCACAGTTCTTGAAACTGTTTTGGACTCCAACGTCAAATTGCCCTCAGGGTTGATGTCTAGGGAGGCCTCGCTTGGGTTGTAGGTGGCTGCGTTCTTGCTTTGTCCTGTCATGGTGGACAGAGAGAGCCCTCTGGAGTCTCTTCATCTTTTAAGGCCACCAGTCAGCCATATTGGATTATTACTGCACACTTATGACCTCATCTAACCCAAATTGCCTCCCAAAGGCATTGTTTCTCAGTAGAATCAGTCACACTGTAGATTACAGATGGTTTCAGCATATGAATTAGGGGATGGGAAGACTTCAGTCCACAGCACAGTTGTCAGAATGTAGATGCTACTCCAAACCATGAAGATGGACAAGATTATAAAAGAGAAAAGGAAATGGCAAAGGGCCTACTACAGATACTTAGAGGTCAAGTAGAAAAATAGGAATTTGCAAAGAAGATAACACAGTAGCCAGCTGGAAAGTGATTGCCAGGGGTTTCAAGGAGGATATAGTGGACAGTGTCCAGTGCTGCTGCCATAGTAGCCATTGTTTTTCATAAACAGCAAGGCCACTGGTGGTCTTACTAGGTTGTTAGGGACAGCACCAGAATGGAGTTGTCTGAGGAATGAATATAGGTGAAAAGGAGGAATCGGGAGAGGAAGCTGTGTTTTTCGTGTTTGTTTTGAGAATATTGAGTGAAAGAGCCTGAGAAATGAATGGCATAAGTGCAGAGGAGTATGAGAGTACAGAAAGGTGTATTTTTCTTGTAATTTGTCTTTAAGGTTAGAGACACTGACTGTGTCTCCAAGATTTAGCCATAGCTATGATTTCATTTAATCTTCTAAAAAACCTCAAAGAACAGGAAATAACCTCATTTTATAGAAGTGAAAAGCAAGGCAGAGAGCTACTTGGCCAAAGTGATGTTGTGCTAAGGGCTTTGTACACAACATTCTTACCATTCTTCTCATCATCATGTATGAACTGATTTTACGTGTGTGTGTCTAGAATCCTTAACACTGTGCCCAGCAGAGAGTAGGTGCTCAATAGGTCTCATTACCACTGTCACTTTTGAGATGATCAGTGTCCGTTTCATTGCCTGGAATTCTTTTTCTTGTGCAATAGCAGCTCAGATGGAATAAAGCTTGCAGTTGGACACCTAAGACAACATCATGTTTGTCTGTGATGTGCTAGATGTACTTAGGGTCATTTTATATGAACAGTGCCTGTCCTTGAAACACTAGCATCACAATGCTCACTTGTCAAGAAGTCCGTGGGAACTGAGACAACAGAAAAGGGAAGGTTGATGTGTTCATCCCATGCTCATGGTGGGCCAGATCCTGATTTATTGGGGTGCAAGATGACTGCGCTGTGTCAACATTTCCCTCCCTGTGTTACCTGACTGAGCAAATGTCGTCAACCACAGCGCACAGACTTCTCACCTTCCTCCTCACCATTGGCAGCTCTGCTGTCTCACCCCCAGGAGGGCGGGCCGGAAACTGCTGGCTGAGTTCATCTCCACTTGTTTTGAAGCGTTTGGCTGAGGGAGAGTTAACTTACTCTTTTGTGCTTGTCTTTAATAGTTTTTTTCTTTCCTTCCTTCTTTCCTCAGATTACTTTAGAAAACTATCTACATCTCTCTTCCTCCTCATTTTGTGACCCAGAAAGAGACAAATTTAAGAATAATGTTAATGGTATCTTTATATCACTGTGCTTCAAAATTGAATAAATTATTGTGGTAAATATATATTTAATGGAAATATTATTATATTTCTATGGATGTGATGCTGACTTATTTTATAATGTTGCTTAAATGTGTGCACACACAAAATTAATTTCTTATGCATAGCTTTAAAATCAAAACAACTATAAAACTAGTAATTCAAATGAATGACATTCATGTGGGCAGATGGTATTGGAAACTAAATCACCACTTCCAGTGTCAAAAAGACACTGACTTTGTGTGCAAGATTTTTAAAATTCGCCATGACTATCCTGTGATGACTTACTCCTCCAGTCACTTGTTTTGTGATTGTTTGAAAAAACTTTCTTCCCTAAGCACACAGTGAGGACGCTTGGCCTTCAGTGGTCACAAGTTCATTATTCTCTTTTAAATCTACTGTCCAGTTCTACTTTTGGCACCAAGCCAATCACTAAAAACAAACGTGGACATTAACACTACTTGGCATTTCTGTTCTTAAGAATCACGTTTTAGGGCCGGGGATTTAGCTCAGTGGTTTCACCACCTGCTGCGCAAGCACAAGGACCCAAGTTCAATCCCCAGTACCAAAAAAAAAATCACATTTTACTGGAGAAACTAGAATATGCTTGTTATTTTCTGAGATCATTGTTGAATGTCAGTTTTTTTATGTGAATGTTCTATCTTAAATGAAATTGAGGAAGGCAAAAAGACCTGGAAAATGAGCGCCCCAGCATTCTGTTTGGAGTCTTCACCTCTACGTGTCTGCTTTTCACGTTTTCTACACATTTTATTGTAGAAATTTATTGTAAAAATACACTTGTTCTCCATATTTTTGTTTTCTATCTCTTTATTCTTTGGCTCCAAGTGAGGGGAAAGTCTTGTTCAAAACAGTGAAGCTAAAATTGTGGACTTCATTTTCAGTTCAGTCTTAATTTTAACTGCAACAGACCCTTTAAATACCAAAAGTAAATACCATTTTTCCCTTAAAAAAGAAAAAAAAAGAAGATTCATTCTTAAAGGCAGGATTACAGGTTAGTATGAAATTCATTCCCTGGAGGTCCCAGAAAAGAACAGAGGTTCAGATAAATTTGTTTTTACCAGAAATCGAGTAGCTTACTTCAGCTGTATTTTAAGATGAGATGACTCAAAATGTATTTTTAGAAACTGAACTCTTAAAATATTGATCAGGTATTTACCTAGTGAAGACATTAGGGACTTTTAAAATAACAGTACCCTCAGTTGATACTTTGTATATATGTACCATATATTCCAATTTGTTTGGATAGTACTGTAGTCTAGTTATCAATTGAGAATGTTAAGAGAGAATTGATGTAAAGAACTCAGACCAGTAACCCTCAGTGTTCATTGTGTTTTCATGTGACAGTTTACTGAAATGCTTACCGGTAAAAGCCAGGCATGATGGGGACAGCCTGTAATCTCAGAACACTAGGAGGCTGAGGCAGGAAGATCACAAGTTTGAGCCCAGCCTGGTCAGTTTAGCGAATTAGCAAGACCCTGTCTCAAAGTTTTAAAAAAGGGCTGGAGTGTAGCTGAGGGCAAAGGCCCTGGGTTCAATCCCCAGTGTGTGTGTGCGTTCGTGTGTGTGTGTGTGTGTGTGTTTGTGTGTGTGTGTGTATGGAGTGCTTTACAATAACATTGGAAGAAAATGTTGGTAGATTTTTAACTTTGTGTGCATGGAAGCAAAGGAATAAACCATTAAGATTAATTAGATTTAACTTGCAGAAAATATCAAAGCTTCTGTACACGTCCAATCATAATTTTTTAAAAAGGCAAAGAATAAGGTGGGGAGTGGCATGATGTTAATACTGTTAATGTATAGAAAGCTGTTATGAAAGGCTTGATGAGGGAAGTGCTCAACCCCTTTAGGGAAATATATCCCCACTCCCTTCAGAAAATACAAATAGGCTGTTTATTTTGAAGATAAAATAAAATAGCCATTAATCATTTAGAAAATATTGAGCTTCATTTGTAATCAAATGAAAATTTAAGAAGTAAACATTTTATTGAACTCTTTAGTTACAATATCGTAATCTCTACTGATGGGTTCTTTTGTCTCTCAAGGTTGGAATACACACCAAGGCTTGGTTTATTGCAGGAATCTTTCTGCTGTTGACTATACCTATATCACTGTGGGGGATCCTACAACACCTCGTGCATTACACACAACCTGAACTGCAAAAACCAATCATAAGGTCCATCTTCTATTTTGTTTTTACTAATGTTGTGTTAGCGTCTATCATAAATATAAAATGTTTAAAATCTATTCTTTACTATTCTAGGGTTCTTTGGATGGTACCCATATACAGTTTAGATAGTGTAAGTATGTTTCATTTTATTTCATTAACTAAGAATTTGTTTGATAATACTAACTGCTTATCATAGAATGCCAAAGGTAATGAAAAGTATGTTATTTACAGTGAGTTTAATAAAAACAAAGAAGTTCACTTGCTTTTAATGTTGATAAGATAAAGATGATAATAGAAAATGAAAACTACAGGTATTTTAAATTTTCAAAACTCTGTAACTCTTGGTTTAATTTTTTAAACTTTCAGATTAGTGGCTCGTAGTCTTTTAAAGAATGTAATAAATTAAATTACAGTTGTATGGTGGTATCCACAGAGGATTGGTTCCAAGACCCCTTGGAGATACCAGATCTGCTGATGCTCAACTTCTTCATGTAAAATAGGCCCTGTCGGAATGTGACCTCCACACACCCTTCCAGGTCCCATTCAGCGCTCTCTGCACATCGAGTCCTTTCTAGATGTCCTGTAATACCTGACACAGTGTACATGCTGTGTAAATGGTTGTTGTGCTTTATTGTTGAGGGAATGGTGACCCAAAAGATCTGTACATGTTAAGTACAGATGGAGAGTTTTTCATTTCTTTGTTGCAAATATTTGTGAGCTAGGTTTGGTTGAACCCACAGATTCTAGATACAGATGGTTGACTGTACATTATAACCCTTTTTATTTATTAAATCTTTCATTTGATCCAAAATAAATTTTTTAAATTACCCAATGGTTATAGCTACTGGTCTAATTTGATTAGATATAAAGAAAATGTCTGTAGCAGCATTTTCTATGCACATATCAAGAAAATTTTCAGATTGCATTTCAGAATTCATGTTCATTGCTTTTAAAAATTAGTTTCATCGGGCCTGGCATGTAACTCATTGGTAGAGTGTGTTCTTGGCATGCTGCATTTGATCTCCACACACACACACTTTTCACAAATTATCTGGCAGTCACTATAATGATAAATTATAGGACATTTAATATAAGTGTGTGACAGTAACTTATTCTGCATAGTACCATGAATTAGAGTGGTAATTTTATGCAAGCTTCAACTATTTTAACTTCTGTACTTTTTCACAGTGGGTAGCTTTGAAATATCCCAGGATTGCAATATATGTGGATACCTGCAGAGAATGCTATGAAGCTTATGTCATTTACAACTTTATGATATTCCTTACCAATTATCTAACTAATCGATATCCAAATCTGGTATTAATCCTTGAAGCCAAAGACCCACAGAAACATTTCCCTCCTTTATGTTGCTGTCCACCATGGGCTATGGGAGAGTAAGTATGTTTGGTTTTAATTCTTTTTTATTTTAGTTTTATTTAATCAGTTCTTGATTACCATTTGGATCTCTGCAAGGCAGAGCAGGGCAAAAGGAATAAGAGTGAATCCCTACCCTGATGTAGTTCATAGTCACATTTGAAGGCTTGTAACAAAACCCATTTTTATAACCTATGTGTTAGGTTTTTTTACATTGTTCACGCAAGTTTAAAAGCTCAACAGTGCTCTACAAGAGGAAACCTTAAAATCATCTAACAATTCCTTTTAACATTTGGGAATCAAGATCTGCAGATCTTATGCAAGATCACAAACTAGTTAAAAGGTGGGGAGAAGATAATCTAGGTGGGAAAAAAAGCACATGGTATGAAATAGGAGCAACAAATAGCAGTGTTTATTCTAGTAACATATTTAGTTTGCCCTATTATATGTTCATGTAGACAGTAAAAAAAAAGCCTATTGTTATTTAGACCTTTCATTTTGAAATGTAAATTGAGGTTAAGATTTCATTTATTATACATAGGCACCACTGGGTATGTTTTAGGAAGGGAATATTAGAAAGTTCTAATAGTCTGTTTGTGAAATAAGCTGAAAAAGGAAGATGAAATTGGAATACAAAGACAATAAGAAAATGTAACTGAAGAACCAATAGAATGTGACCACTGACAGCTGGGGAGCAGGGGAGTTACAAGGTAAGGAGGATGGAAGATGTGGAGGCATAGTGATCAGCTTAGACATAAATGTGGGGAGGGCTGCACTGCCTCCCATGGGGTACAAAACCATGGGTGTAACATTCTTTTCAGTGTTCTTACACACTTGAGATAAGGAATTACCTGGCTTTAAAACAAATAAGCTGCTAAGGTGTTCCTTCAACAAAAATGTACTGATCACCTAGTGTGTGCCGGTATAGACATAGTGTGGAACACCAAACAGACAGACGTCAGGAGCTGTGTGAGCAGGAGGTCAGAAGCTAATGAAGATATGAACGGCTACTTATTTCAGGAATTGCAGTGAAAGAAAAAGAACAGGAGAGCATGAGAGACCACAGTAAGGATAAACTGTATAGCCTGTGGATCAGGAGGAAATACTCCCCAGGAGATACTGTGCTCAATTCCAAATCCAAGGCCGAATGGGGATTTGTAGATAAGAGCAGATTGAGGGGTCAGTGGATGCAGGGTTACTAAGAGGAGACATGGAAGGAGCAACCTTGCTGGCCTGATGTATAGGATTCTTGGTGAAAGGTAGCCAAGGGCTGGGACATCCAGGGAGAGGGTGACAGACTCGATTCGGTGCAGGGAGCTCCCGTGTGTGTGTATATGTAGGGGGGGATGACTCAGGATTCTCGGTGTAGACTGACTTTAAGCAGACCAATGACAGTCCCAGAGCATGAGGTCTCCTCAAGAAGAGGGCTCGAAGGAACTTGTATAAAGTGTGGCCATTAAAGGCCTGTCAAAAGAGAGGCCGTTACAGGATGATATAAAAAGACCTGGTGTCCAAAGTTCATTTTCAATAATTAATTATGTGTTTTGTGTGGACTAAATTGGAAATGGGGAATAAGAGATTGCAGTAGCCTCGTATATAAGATGGTGGTGGCGGCAGGCTGGCTTTGACCTCTTCTATTAATAGAGAACCTGAAAAAAAATAGAAAATTTAAAAAATAACCTGCTTTGAGGCTCTAGCCGCCTCTTCAGACTGGCTCTCAATTAGCTGGTGATCGACTAAAACTCGAAAGTCTTTTATAAATGACACTGGTCAAAATTCTCAAAGTCTGTGTTTATGCACAAATTTGTTCCTATCTATTGCATGCATTCTTGTTAAGTCTGTATGGGTTAGGTTCATTTTTAAACGAGGCTTGAATTTTGACAACTGCTAACTGAATAGTGCGACATAGCAATGTACCCATAATATAATAGGGGTTTTCTTGCCTTTGAAAAACATTAAATGGAGGGCTGGGAATTTATCTCAATGGTTTCACCGCCTGCTGCGCAAGTGCAAGGACCCGAGTTCAATCCCCGGTACCAAAAAAAACCCAACATTAAATGGTTACCAAAATTGTACACTGTGGCGGTATGGTTTTAGTATAATAAAACTTCATTTTTGTATATAAATACATTTTAGGTCATTCATCTGCCTCTAATTAACTGGTACTTTATATGATAATTGATCAGGCAGTGCTGTTCAGGATAATTCAGTATAATATTTTACTTTTAAGATTCAAGGACTATGGGAAGTTTACAGTTGGTAAACAATAAAAGCAGTCTGCTTTTTGTACTCTGATTTTGGCAACGTAAGTGCTGAACACAATCAGTTTTCTTTTAATGAACTTTCAAGGATTGGTAGGTGTTTCACAGAGGCAGGAGAAACACTTAGTGATCAATACATTTGTACTACCATAACTGAAGCACATGTTTTCATTAAACAGCACCAACTCTTGTTATTTGATTTTTCCTCCTATCTCTCGTTTTTAAGTGGGTTACACCCCACTGTGTTGAATTTTACGATTTGGACAACATTGCTTTAGGTATGTACCTTGACATGGATATGCCAGGTCTTTTGGGTTTAGTTCAGCTTTGCAAGTTAGTGACAGAGTGTTTTCTGAGGTATAGTAAATTACTCTCCACCAGCACTGTGAGATAGAGCTAGTGAACCACTTCCTCACCTGCCTTTGGAATTACCCAGACTTCATTATATCTGCCTGTCGAGAGGATATACAGGGGTACAGCACTGTGGTTTTCATTTGGGATTCCCTCATTAGTAAGCTGATTGAGCATCTTTTCATGTAAGTCGCTTGTACTTGCCTTTCGAAGGAATATGTGTGATTCATCTTTTTTCTAATGGGCTGCCAGTCTTGTGGATTTATATGGGATCTTTAAACAATTGCAGAGCTTTCTTTGATGTGTTAACTGCCTCCCATTTTTGACATGCTTTGTCATTTTCATTGGCTCTTTTGACAAACATTGTGTCTTGAATATTAATATGGTTGAATTTATCAATCTTATTTTATAGTTAGAACTTTTGGGATCTTGTTCAAAAAATTCATCCCTAGCCCAGGATTATAAAAACATTCACAGATGCTTTTCTTTTATACATTTTGAAGTTTTACCATTAGGACTATTTAATCCATCTGCAGTTGAGACTGTGTGGGTGTGGGTGTGGGTGTGTGTGGGTGTGTGTGTGGTGTGAGCTAAGAATGCAGTTTCACTTTATTTTCTTGGATACTGCCTTTGAACCATTCCCTCCCTTCTGGCTCCCTGATTGATGTTGGGACCTGTCATATACCACATTTCCATATGTATGGGTGCATTTCTGGTTTTATTGACTTCTTTGTTCCTCGACTAATTTCATATATTAGCTTTTATAGTTTACTTATAAACCTTAAAGTAAGAGGCAAGTGCCAAACCCTATTATTTCAGCCATTCTTAATGTCCACTTACACAAAGAGTGGTCAAACTGTACAGTGAGTGTTTAACATATTTTTAAATTATTACCATAGAGATGCATTGCCATTAATCCCCCTCAAGCTGCTCCCCCTTGCTTTGAACACACTTATCCCATTCTTACCACTTTCTGAAGCAGTTCTTCCTGGAAGTCCTTTTTTGTGAATGTCTTCAGATGCAGTGTTTGTGGCTGCCTCTGTGTCCTGAACTGATTCAGAATGTTTGCCTTTCGTGGTCATTTTGACTTGGAGGAAGAGCCAGGAGTTGCATGATGCCTGATCTGGTGAATAAGGTGGATGAGGACTCACTGTGATGTTTTTACAAGCCAGTCTTTCAGTTGGATGGCACTCAGGAACATGTTGAGCATGCCTCATAAAGACAGAGAAAAGGACTTCCAGAACTGCTTCAGAAAGTAGCAAGAATAATAGGGTAGGGGCCGGGGATTTAGCTTAGTGGTTCTGCCACCTGCCTCACAAGCACATGGTCCCAAGTTCGATCTCTGGTACCAAAAAAAAAGAATAATAGGGTAAGTGTGTTTGAAGTGAAGGGTAGTATTTTGAGGAAGATTGATGGCAATGTATCTTTTACTGTAATAAATTGCTTTTAAACATTTACTGTATATGTGGCCTACACTGTGATATATACAAAGTCTAACCAGACTCTGGAGAGCTTTCCCTCCAGCCACTGTTCGCAGGAGCATGTGTAGTGGTGAGCAGTCATATCACCTCTCTGGACTAGAAGCCAGAGAGACTGGTGTCTCACTATCCCTTCCAAGGGCCCACTCCCAGGTGACCATGGGACTTTCTACTAGGTCCCTCTGCTTAAAGGTTCACCACCACCCTGGGGACCAAGCCCATCTGCACCTTTGAGGGAGAACTAAAACACAGCAGAGCCCAGTGCAACTCTTGCCAGCACCACCACCACAGGGGACTCTTAGTTGAATATAGGAAGGAGCTACTTCAGCACAGAGAAGGCTCTTAGCTTAGAAAATTCCAGTAGCTTTTATTTGGTCTAGTAACCTGACATCTCAAGGTTGTATGGCAGGCTTGCTGTCTTCTCAGTCTAGATACAGTCCTTCAATTAAAGGCTTCATACTACCAGTTCTCCTGATGAAGGTACTAAATAGGTGTTTGCCTTCAGAGCTACTTGGTGTAAATTTTAAGTGAGCTTTTACATGGTTCTCAGGACTTATTTTAGGAGCTGTTTGGAGCTCTTCTGCTTGTTTGTTACTCCTTGTGAGTCAACCTACACTGAGTGAACCCAACAACAGAGTAAAATGTTTTATGTAGGACGTTTGTTTTGTCCTTTCAGAGTATCCAAGCAGTGGTAACTCCTTTTAAGATTTAAATACCAAACTTGAAAGGAAACCGAATCTTAAATGTAAATAATAATTTCTAAATATGCTTCACATACATACATGCACGCACAATTTATTACTTGGTTTTTGTTCCAGAAAAACACAGGGACCGTGTTAGTCAGCTTTTTGTCACTGAGTAAATACCTGAGGTAATCAATAAGGGAAAAGGTTTACATTGGCTCACAGTTTCAGAGGTTTCAGTCCATGGTCACTGGCTCTGTTGCTTTGACAGCATAATATAACATGATGTGAGCATGTGGCATAGAAGGCCAGTTCACCTTATGGTATCCAGGAAAAAGATGAGGCCAGAGTGCCAGTATTTCCTCTAAGGACAACTCCTACCCCGTGACCTGACTTCCTTCCCTAGGCTGCACCTCCTAAAGGTTCCACCACTTTCCAACAGTGCCACAGGCTGGAAACCAAGCCGTTAATAATGGGGTTTTGCAAAACATTTCACATGAAAAATGTACCAGGGACCCATTTCTGTTCCTTTTGTGGAACTATTCTGTGCGGCACTATTCTGGAACTCTAGACTATGTGCAAAGCAAGATCTTTCAGATGTCAAATAATGTTTTATATGGTATTTAAATGATTTGCTGCATCTATATCCTTCCCCTAGTGCCATTCAGGATGATTAAATTGAAGGAGTTAAATATAAATATGATGTCATTTATCAAAGTGATTTTAATTTGGAGGCTTTGAGGATGTTTGGATGCCGCTTAAATAAGTAGTGAAATCCTAAGTTCTTTTTCTTTTGCAGAGTGTTGCTATTTCGGTGCAAACTGGGTGTACTACAGTACACAGTTGTCAGACCAGTCACCACTATTGTTGCTTTGTAAGTACACAGATTTTACATCATCATTGCTTTAGATCTTTATACGCTTAATTCGAAACAACTGAGTAGAAAAACAGAGTATGAATTATTAATAAAGCAATTCTAAGGGGCTGGGGATTTAGCTCAGTGGTTCTGGCACCTGCCTTGCAAGCACAAGGTCCTGAGTTCGATCCCCGGTACCAAAAAAAAAAACAATTCTAGTCCACTGTAAAAATCACAATATATAAAAATCTTACTCTGTTAAGATAAATGATTGTTAACAGGCAAAGAATCACCGCAGGATTTACGTCCTCTCTAAAGTATGCCATGAAGCTCTTTCAAAAAGGTGCTTTTTCAAATGTGAATGTTCACATAGCTTTATAGAAACTGTTACGTAACATTAAAAAGTGTGCGACTTTAGGATGACTACATGAGTTTATTTTGTACATGGTTAAATTAGATCATATTGGGAGCATTATCCAAAAAAAGTCGTATTTTTCTTTAAGCATTGTCAAGATATTTAAAACTTGAGGTAAACATGAGATATTATTAAACTACCTGGTGAAACTATTTCCTAAAAATTGAAGAACAAGTAATTAAGTAGATTGTATGTTTTATCTGTTAGTCCTTACTAACATTCTATATGGTCACAAAAGAAAGATGAAAAGAAATACAGGTAAAAGAACAATTCAATTCTTTATATATTTCCTTTGAACAAGGAATTATTTAGCCAACTAAGACTAATACATCTCTTTTTTTTTTTTTGGTACCGACTAATACATCTCTTTATGAAAATGTGCTTTATTTCTCTGTAGCTTAGAAACTGGATGGACATACCATTTAATACTAACTGAAATTCATTTGAAGGGACTGGCTGTTCATATTTACCTCTAAAATAATTTATAGGGGAAAACTGAGATATATTTATAAACATATGTTTAACAGCCAACTTTCTCAAAATTAGCTTTTTTGAAGCTAATTTTTTGAAGGGATAGCTTTTTTGAAGTTAATGATTACTCTATTTCAGTGTATTGGTCTTATTTTTGTATTTCCTTCAAGTTAACAGAAAATCATGGAAAATATTTTTGTTTTAATTTTGAATCAAAGCCAAGTGATTACACAATAACTCAAACTGACTTCTAAACTGTCGCAGTACTTTAAAATACATAATTTAGTCATAAAGTTGTCCCATTTTACCATGTTTTGTAGAATCTGTGAGCTGCTCGGTATATATGATGAAGGAAATTTTAGCTTTTCAAATGCTTGGACTTACTTGGTTATAATAAATAATATGTCACAATTGGTAAGTAAATACTCTTCATAATTATAAGTTGGTCTCTAAATATTTTTAGGGATAGTTTCTTGGAATAAAAGTTGATTGCTTCATTTTAATCTTGAAATTTAATTTATACAGAGAAATAGAAAAAGACTATACATGCCTTTATACAGTGAAATCTTTATTTGGTGACTCATATGCTGACCTGTTGATTGTGTTCATGTTGATTTATCTCTCACTCTCACTGCATAGCCTTGTCAGTGTGTCATAAATAAAAGCAGTGCCCCCTAAATAACAACAAGAAAAACAAACACATGTATTGGGCATATTGCATAAGAGAAGCTGTCTAACTGGTATATAACAGTCCAGGTTTAAATAATAGGATAAAATTCTCCAACATCATATAGTTGGAATCAAAGGAAATTAAGACCACCACTGTTCTAGAAACTGATTTAAATGTTCTGAAGATAGAACTATTTGATCCTCTGGATTTAAAGTGCACACATTTGATTTAAAATCTTTGGTTAATGCTTTCAGCAGAATAATAATTTAGATGCAGTGCTTGATATTAGAGCTTTGTAATAAAAATTAAATGGCCACTAAAGCACAAAATGCTATGTTTTGTGAAACTGGATTAAGTACCTCTCTGTATGTTAAAGTGAGGAGCAGTAGTCCATGGGTGAGAGATCAGTTTGGAAACCCTTAAAATTTATGCATGTGTTCATCTTCTAAAGTAGATTTATAATTTTCTTGACTCTAAAGGGAACCTTTCCAGGTATGGTGGCGCACACTTGTAATCCCAGCACTTGGGAGGTTGAAGGAGGACCTCTTTGAGTTGGAAGCCAGCTTGGGCTACATAGTGAGTTCAAGGCCAGCCTGCACTACAAAGCAATACCCTGTCTCAAAAAAATAAATAAATAAAATTAAATGGCCAACTGTCCAAAGCCTTTCCATGTGTTCACCTTCTTTGTCACCAATAATTCTTTTTCTGGGCAAGTACTTTTTTGTTGTTGTTGATTTTTGCTTTTTGAGATAGGAGCTCACTATATGTAGTTCAGGTTGGCCTTGAACTCACTATGTAGCCCAGGCTGGCCTCAGACTTGTAGCAATCCTTTTGCCTTAGTCTGCCAAGTGCTGGAATTATTCTAAAGACAGGATTAAATGCATTTGCTTTGACTATAAAGTCATTTTAAAAACCAGCTTGTAGCTGAGGGTGGAGAGTGTAGCTCAGTGTAGAGAGTTTGTTTAGTATGTTCAGGTATTGGGTTCTACCTGCAGCTCTGTAAAAACAAAAATACAAGCTTATATGTGCAAAGGAATGATTGACAGGAGTCTGAATAACCATATTTTCTCTATTGCTTTCCTCTGTTGCTTTCATAGTCTGAAATATATTAAGTGAGCATTTTACTATTTCAATGGAAAAAGTAAACTTTAGGAAAATGTTTCTGCTATTCAGATACTATACTACATTGTTGTAATTGAGTTCTAAAATAAATCTTAAGCATTTATTTTAAAAAGTAAATTCACCTAGACTAACATACCACTGTGAAGAAAAATTATTTTTCTGATTCTTTATTTTCCAATTTCATGGTCACAATTTTATTGAAATTCTACATGTTTAAGGCATTGCCTTAATACACACACACACACACACACACACACACACACACACACAGTGTTATATAAAACAAATAGCCTAAACTATTTTTAAAAAATTTTTTTTTAAAAACTTTATTTTTATTTGAAAGACATTACAGATTTGTTTATTTTGGCTGAACCAGAGCCTTTTCTTCCATTTATGTCTGTCATTTATTTCTTGTTCTCTTTATGAACTCCAGTAAGTGAACACTCAGCATTTCAGGGAAGGTGTTCTACATCTCTTTTGAGAACTTTCATAGTGTATTATTCATCTACAGCAAATGTTAAAAGCCTGTTGTTAATCTACAGATACAGCAATAAAGCCTAGAAAAATTTGCCTTAAACATTACTCTAGCAAGTCTCTGGTTATAATTTCAATATTACTTATTCTTACTAAAGAAGTTGAAATGTTAACTTTCTTTGCAGTTCGCCATGTATTGCCTTCTGTTATTTTACAAAGTACTAAAGGAAGAACTGAGTCCAATCCACCCTGTTGGCAAATTTCTCTGTGTAAAATTGGTGGTTTTTGTTTCTTTTTGGTAAGTGTTGCTTTCCCTTAAATGTTCTCATTTTTCTAAAAGGCAATAAAACCGTTGGTAATGTTAATGCAGAGATGTCTCTACTTACTTAAAACAAGTTGAATCCTTTTAGCCCTTTTAGGATTTCCATAAAGAAATAAACAGATGATCACTGTCACACTGTATTACAAAAAATTTTAAATAACCTAATTATCTCAACACTAAAGGAATCATTAAAATAAATCAAGGTCCTGTCATAATGGAATACTATGTAGTTTGGAAAAAAACATGACGTAGAATATTTAATATGGGTAACGTTCATCAGGAAATATTCTTTAAAACAAGACAAAATGATACATGGTTTCAGCTTAGTAAAAAGGGCAGATTAGAAGGGTTTCTAGAAACAACTAAAACAGATACACTAAATTTAACAAAATAGAATACCAGAAAAGGAAAGGAAAAAAATTCATGAACTCCTACTGCCAGAAAAAGTGATTAACATTTTGGTGTACATGTGTCATATGTAAAACTGCACAGAAATGATCTTATAGTATAAAAACTTACAGAACTCAACAATGTATGTATCCTATATTGTAGTTAACAGTCCTTTTGTCAGTGAAGAAAAATACAATTTTGTTGTTTGGGATTTTTGTTTTTGCTTAGTATTCTGCTATATAGATATAACTTGTTAACTAACCTTTTATATCTAGATTTTTCCTAATTTTTCACTTTTAAAGTAGCATTGAAGTGAATGTTCTTACAAGTTTCTGAAAGCTTGTCAATCTCATTATTTGCTGTTGAAATTAATACGGGGCTAGGTGTGGTAGCATACAATCCCAGCTACTAAGGCTGAGCCAGGAAGATTGTAAGTTTGAGGCTGCCTGGACAACTTAGTGAGACCCTATCTTAAAAAATAAAAATGGCCTGGGCATGGAGGACCTAAGTTCAATCCCTAGCATCACAAAAAAAATTTTTTTAAAAAGAATTAACATCCTTAGATTTGCTTGCAGTGTTCAACATGACTTCCTGTCTTGGAGTCAGACCCTTGCTGAGTGTGTCTGTAGCTTCAATAGTTGATGCAAGACAGGTTTCAAATAAATTTTTTTTAATGTCTAAATAATACAAGTGTAAACAGCATTTGGGTATCAATCCTTACTTAAAATCCCCACTGTACAAGGTGTTGGGCATTGTCTATGTATGAGAACAATTTGGAATGTAATTACTTATGCATACCCTCGAAACAAAGATACATAAACCCAGTACAGAGTTCTGAGAAGCCATAACTCAAGATCCCTCTGATGAAACCATATTAGAAGAGTACATTTGTAAAGTGAGTACATGTATTTAATCTAGATGCAGTTTCTTTAGGAATAGGCTGTAAAGGTAGCATGGTAGTCTGCAGGCTGCACTGGGGTTTTAACTTTTTTAAATGATATATTTTTAAAACAACTGCTTATTTTATGCTTGATGTAGATTTGGCGTTTACCTTTCCCCAACATACAGGCAAGCAGCGGTCATTGCTTTGCTGGTAAAAGTTGGCGTTATTTCTGAGAAGCACACATGGGAATGGCAAACTGTAGAGGAGGTGGCTACAGGACTCCAGGTAAGCAGTGCTGTCTCTGACCCCAACAGAACTTCAGTATTTATTTGTTATGCATTTTTTACCTGTCATCTCCACTCAACCTTATAGCGTGCAGGCTGTGGGGCTGCAGCTGTTACCTCACCCTCCAGGTAAGGAAACAGGAGTCCTAGAGAAACTGGCCAGAAGTACTGATTGCTAACAGAACCAGAGATAAACCTGGATTTGGATCTTTGTAGTCCATTTCTCTTCCTGCTTTTTTCCTTAGTCTCTAGGTGGTGGATTGAGAATAATGTACTTTGCTGAGAAATACTTGATTTAGGTAGTATAAAAGAGATTCAAATTTTGTCCCTTTTTGAAAAGGTAAAAAAATAATTTTGAGAAAAAGAAAAATATGAAAAGAAAAGAAACAGCTACTGAAATACATACTTTTGAAAAGTACTTGGAGAAAGAGCAATTTAGAAAACGACATTTAATCCCAAAGATGGCTGCTATTTTTGTTGTTACAGGACTTTATTATCTGTATTGAGATGTTCCTGGCTGCAGTTGCTCATCATTACACATTTTCATACAAACCATATGTTCAAGAAGCAGAAGAGGGCTCATGCTTTGATTCCTTTCTTGCCATGTGGGATATTTCAGATATCGCAGATGATATTTCTGAACAAGTAAGGAATGTTGGTGAGTACCAGCCATTTAATTCTTCCAAAATAAGTAGGTTATTCTATTTCTCCCACTGAGGTCATTTATTAGTTATTTAAAAAATGAAAAAGCTGTTTAGAGCAATACTGTGGTACAGGCTCTTCAGATTTAGGGGAAAATGGGCAAATGGGGAGCTTATTATTTAGAATGGTTAGTTTATCATGTTAAAAAATAGCTTACTTAATGTAGAAACCTTTTACTTACAGGACGGACGGTCAGGGGACATGCTAGGAAGAAATTTTTTCCTGAGGACCAAGATCAAAATGAACATACAAGCTTATTATCTTCATCATCACAAGATGCAATTTCCATTGCCTCTTCTATGCCACCTTCACCCATGGGTCACTACCAAGGGTTTGGACACACAGTGACTCCTCAGACTACACATACAATGGCTAATATACCCGATGAACTACTTAATGACACTACAGAAGAGAAAAAACAGCCTTCAGATAAATCTGTGGACTCCTGAATAATGTGCAAAAGCAAACCAAGCTACATCCGTGTTATTTCATCACCTGGAATCCCATGGATTGGGATTTTTGTGCTTGGGACAAGCCATAATGATGGAGAATTTCAAAACAAAGACAAAAAGCCAGGTACAACTACTGTATGTATGTATGTATATATATGTTTTGTATATCATAATATAAATAATTGGTCCACATTCCCTAGACTTAAGACTTGATTCCTAAACTTTAGAGTTGCATACTGAGATGGTAGAAAATGACTGCAACTAAAATGCTTCAGATACTACATTGCTTTATCAGGAGGATGGACATAAAAAAAGGCTTCCTACCACTGCTGCATGAATATAATCCTCTGGACAGAAAGCATAATACAGAAATAAGACATAGTGGAACTTAATCATGTGCCATATAACCTTACCTAACAATTCTCTATTTCTCAACTGGATGCCTTTCAATAAATAAGAATTTATCATTTATTTTCTGCAACTCTTTATGTCGGTCATTCTTTAAACATAAAACTCTTAAGGCTCTAACAAAATTTTTTCAATACTATTAAAAGTGGCAGGAAATGTAAATAATCTTGGCTGAATTGTCTTAATCATTAAAACAGTAATCAGGAGATATATAGTTGTTATTTGAGAGAAACTCATTACTTAGGATGGGGTTTTTCTAATTGGTAATCACAACCCTTGAGGTCATGCTTCACATTATAAAAGATAGAAAGTGACATAGTATGTTGCAAATAGTAAGGATAAGTTGTTTCTCAAAACTGTTGCTTTATATATTTATTCACACACACATTCATTTCATATATGTGTATATACACAGCAAGGTACAGAGTTTATTCTGCCCACTATTATAAATCAAACATTTCTACAGAAAGTAAAGCTAGGTAATATATATATATATTTTGTTTGTTTGTTTGTGGTACCAGGGATCGAACTCCACCTTGCACTTGCAAGGGAGGCAGCACACCACTGAGTTAAATCCCCAGCCTGTGGGTAATATATTTTTTAAAACCTAGAGGTTCCATAGAAAAGTGTTATAACTAATAAGTGAATTAAGTAAAGTTGCAAGGTACAAAAATCAGTAGCATTTTCATATACAGGTAATGACCTAACAAAAAATCAGAAAATAATCCCATATGATAGCATCAAAAATATAAAATACTTAGGAATACATTTAATTGAGGTGGTACTTAAAAGTATATACTGAAAAACTAGAAAACATTTAATTAACACTGAAAATCAAAAACTTATGAAACTGAAGACACAAATTAGAAAAAAGACAAACAAATGGAAAGATACCCTGTGCTCGTGAATTAGAAGGATACAATTAAAACATTCACATAATTCAAAGCAATATACAAACTCAGTGCAATCCCTATCAAAATCCCTTTGTCTTTATTCATAGAAAAAAGTCCTACTATTCACCCGGAACATAATAGAGTCTGAATAGTCAAAACAATACCAAGAAAGGAAAATTGGAGGCATCACATTTCCTTGTTTAAAACTGTAAGTGTGACAAAGTTTGTAGACCCAGCTCACTTGGAAGACAGGCGGGAAGATCAGTTGAGCCCAGGAATTCAATACCAACCTGGGTTACATAGTGAGACATCACCAATACTAAAATTATGTTACAAAGCTAGAGTAAAACACTGTGGTATTGGCATAAAAACACACATGGAGCAGTGGGCAAGAGTCCAGAAATAATACCAGAAACACACAGTCAAATGATGTTGGACACGGGCACCAGGAGGACACAAGGAGAGAATCTTTCTAAAAAATGATGCTGGGAGGTCACTGTGTTCTCTCTTGCATGGCGCCCTCTCCCCCACTCATGCTGTAGAGCATACTCCTTTTTCTACTTTTACTTGGCCCAGACTCGCTCTGCAGAGCCTGTTTCTTTTCCTACCTTCAATGAAACTCTGCTGACATTAAAGAAAACTTTATGCGGGGAACCCCAGATTTCCACATGCAAAAGGGCCAAGAATGGACCCGTGTACACCAGACACAAAAGTGAGCTCAGTGTATAAAATGAAAAACCAGAAACTGAAATAAAACTCCCAGAAGAGAACACAGAAGAAAAGTTCCTGGGCATTGGCCTTCCCAATGGTTTTTTGGATATTATACAGAAGCTTAGGCCACAAAAACAAATGGGACGAGAGTAAGCCTTCTGACCATTCATTCCACATAAAGATTCAACCAATCCTAGATCAAAAATATGCTGGGGAAAAATGGCACCTTTGTACTGAACATGTACTTTTCCTGGTCAACATTCCCTGAACAATAGAGTATAACTAAACAGAATTTATACTGTGTTAGATGCTGTAACTAAAGATGATTTGGATTATGCAAATAATACACCATTTAATAAAAGGAAGTTGAACAGCCACAGATCTTCATTTGCAAGGAAAGGCCTGGAACCAATCCACTCTAGAAACTGAGGGAAACTGTACATCAAACCAAAAAAGTGTTCACAACAAACTACAAACTGGGAGAAAATACTTGCAAACAATACAAGGAGTTAATATATAAAATTTATAAAGAACTCATACAAAATAATAGAAAAAAATTTGTTAAAAATGGCAAAAGGCACGAAATGGCCAACAAGTACATGAAAGCGTTCAATATCAATCAGAAAGAAAATGCAAATCGAGTCGCTCAGAACACGCCGAATCAGGCCCCCGCAGACAGGCAGGTCTGCAGACACCCTACCTAGGTCGTGAGTCGCATGGAACATGCTGAGTAAGCCCGCGCCCCGGCAGCAATCAACTGGAACCCCCCCCCCCCACCACCCC